ATCTCTGCTCTAAAGAGAGAAAATTTGTGTGAAAATGTTGTGCTGTTGGCATATTCGAAGCCTGATGAGTCTGTTCGTAATCAGAAGAACTCATTGTCTCTATCAGCTTTTCCTATCCATATTTTTTTCTTGTTAATAAGCCCTCATTTTCTCCTAACACTTTAATGGTATCTCTTGGTCTCTCTTGTTGGGACCTTGGTTATTTTATTTTCCTATTCATAGTGATACTTGGGACTCTCCACCTTGTGTACTCTGGCTTGTTTCTTGAGGTAGCCATTAGAAGGCTTTCTCAGTGGATTCTGCATCCTTTTTCTCCCAATCTCTCAGGTTTTGTAAGGTTTCCAATGGCTTCAGCTCTTTTCCGTGTGATGTATGGGCGTGAGTGCAAGTACGGAGCTCCTTACTTCTCCGCCATCTTGCCCCCTCTCCTCTCCTAACACTTTAGAGCATACAAAAAAGTACCTCTCAGGGCGCCTGGGTGGCTCAGTCTGTTAAGAGTCTGAGTTCGGCTCAGGTCATGATCTCACAGTTAGTGGGTTTGTGCCCCGCGTCGGGATCTGTGCTGACAGCTCAGAGCCTGGAGCCTATTTCAGATTCTGTGTCTCCCTCTCTCTCTGACTCTCCCCTGCTCATGCTGTCTCTCCCTCTCTCTCTCTCTCAAAAATAAATAAAACATTTAAAAAATGTAAAAAAAAGTACCTCTCCCCCCATATGCCAAAATTTATACTGCCTACGTTATATGTATCATTTCTTTTAACCCTTATTCAATACTGTGTGTGTTTTGTCTTCATTTGACAAGCATATAAACTGACACTTGGAGAAAACAAGTCATTTGCCTTGAGACCTGTAGCTCTTAAATGACATACCTGTGATTTGAACCCAGAGCTTCTAACCCCCCCAAAACTGCCCTTAGAGACTACAATCCACTATAGCTATCTTTGCTTTGTCTAGTTTTACTTTGATCGATCATTCAAGATCCCCTTCCCAGAATTAGCCAAGAATAAATAATTTAAATCATACATAATAAAGAGACTTGGTGTTCCTACAAAGAACAAAAAGAATTTAAAAAATTAAATGTTTTTTCCATGAGACTTGCTTTGGGCAGTGGACCACAAACTCTGTGAACCAATAACATATGTTTTATCTAGGATGAGAACGATAGATTTGGGACACTGCTAAGGTGTTCTTACTCCTTAAGGATTTAGCAGCCAATGAAAACATTCCGCATCTGTGTTACTGGAACACAATGCAATGAGAAGATATGAATTATCTTCTATATTTATTTCTTAGAGTATGTTCAAATCTACTGCAGGAATTTGTACTTCAGTGTCCAACCATTTACCCAACCTGTTCATAATCTGATAAGGAATATAGAAGTAATATCATGGGGCACCTGGGTGGCTCAGTCAGTTAAGCATCTGGATCTTGATTTCAGTTCAGGTCATGATCTCACAGTTCGTGAGTTCAAACCCTGCATTGGGCTCTGTAGTGACAGCATGGAGTTTGCTGGGGATTCTCTCTCCCCCCCTCTCTCTGCCCCTTCCCCATTCACCCTCTCTTTCTCAAAATAAATAAAATTAAAAAAGTTTTTAAAGAAGTAATATCATTATTACTGAAAGTTCATTCTACCGTGCTTATGGTATCTTAATGGAATTTTTATTTTTAAATTACTTCTATTGAAGTATAATTTGCATACAACAAAATGCAACCAATTTAAGAATATATTTTGGTGCATTGTGACACATGTATTTACCTTTGTAAACATCTCAACCAATATAAAAAACCTTTTTATTATTCCACAAAGATCCCTCATGGTCTTCTGCAGTCGACCCCACTGTGAGCCTCACCCCAGGTCACCACTAGTATTAGTTTTAACTGTTGTAGAATTTCATATCAATGGACTCATACAGTATATACTATTTATTTTTCAGATTTCATCACTTGGCACAGTGCCTTTGAGATAAATTTATGTTGTTGTGTGCACTGGTAATTTATCCCCTTTATTAGTAGGTGCTGGTCTACATTATGGATATGCCACAATTTGTTTATCCATCCACCTGCAGTGTCCACGTTGGCTGTTTGCATTTTGGGGCTATTGCAAACGAAGCTATAAATTAGTATACAAATCTCTGGATGGGCATGAATTTTGATTTCTCTGTATGAATATCTTGGAGTACAATATGTGGATTATCTGGTGTGTCAGTTTTGTAAGAAACTTCCCCAGAGTCCTTCAAGGTGGGTACCATCTTATGTTCCCACCAGAAATGTGTGAAAATCCTAATGTCTTGATCATAAGTATCTGGGAGTAGATTTTAACTTCATGATAATCTTGGCCTTTTTCCTTGGAAAAATGACTTTTGAACCGGGAGATAAACTGTCTCCAGTAGGCCAATTTAGGTGATGTTGCAAAGATAAATAATATCAATTGTTTCAAACTTGATTTCACTGGCTAACTTTCAAGAAGGAATGCTCACAGGTTTTCAAAGAATAGGACTCAAAATTCAGTCTGTGAAAACTAAATTGACTTGGGTTTTCTGTTGCTTAGGGACAGGGCTTGAATAAGTAACTACTCTTTGGGGATTGGCCATTGAACTGTAGCCACTTGGGATTACTAATGACTTGAAAATGTGACCCACCTCAAAGCACCATATGATGTCTGCAGTCCGCCTTAGTTGGGTATTCTGGCCAGGCCTAACTACTTCTAGGGCATCATGAACACATGGGAACTGTTGTATCAGAAGAGAAGCAGATTGGAAACTGAGGACGAGGCTCAGGAAACCCAGTCTGTACCCACACCAGCACTCTCCATTCTGCTCTCACATGGAGCAAGGGAGTGAGGGTCATCCTGTGTCAAACTTCCACTGTCCCCACTGAACTCAGTGAGAGTCAGTCAGGAACTGAGCAGGGATTAGAAAGCTCGCTATCAATAGTGTGAAACAGAAAGGATTTTGATTTAATAGCCAAGAGTCATTAGTTAACCAAATTAAACTGAGTACTCTAAAATGCTGGCAGATCCAGAATCACAAGGGAGTGGTATAGGGGGGAGCCCAGTGGAGAGCACCTAATTTTAGACAGAGCGATCAAATAATGAAAATGCAAAGATAATGCCATGTCTTAAATCTAATATATGAGAACACTGCTGTGTATACAATTCTTTGTCTTGTTGCTTGCTAAAAGTAGTTTTTTTTTCTCAAAACATGATTTTAGTTTTAATATATGTAGGTAGGAATCGATATAAAGCATATGGTTATGTGTGAAAAAGTGGAGTAACAGCTCCTGATTTATGAAGCATGGATATGGAAGGCAGATGTAGAGTTCTTTGAAAAGAATGGCATTTATTAGTGGCCTTCTCACGTGATAGCTATAGATTCCCACAGCTTAAAAAGCAAGAAAAACCAATGTGAAATTGTATGGAGTCGTAGGATAGCACTGTTAGAAACAGATGTACAGAAAGAACTTTCATAGTGATTAATACCTAACTTTTAAAGTATTTTCTGTCATGCTAAATCCTTTAAGTATGCTGTCTTAATCAATTTCTACAACAAATTCATGAAATACGTAGTTTTCAGCCCATTTTATAGCTAAAGAAATGGAGCCACACAGAGGCTTGCCCACATTTACAAACCTGAAAAAGGATGAACTTGCCAAATCACAGAATTAGCAAAAGTAAAGCTACGGTATCTATGTTTGGCCCTGGCAAAGGGTAGCCTTGTCTGAAGGCAGATAAGGATCAATTCCTGAAACTGAGGAGAGAAACGCTAACATGATGGAGCACAGGTTAGCAGAGGCCCCTATGGAAAATGGCTAGCTGCTTATATACAGGCAATCTTTACATGTATATAATACTTCACGACAAATAAGGTATTTCACATATAGGATCTCATTTAATCCCCACAACACTGTGAAGGGCGCGGCAGGGCGTGAACTAATAGTCATCATTGCTATTTCACAGGAAAGATAACGAGGTTCAAAGTTAGCAAACAACTTGCCGTAATTCCCACAACCAGATTGGGAAGCCACAACTAGAGCCCTTGTTTTCTCACTCCAGTTTCTGGTTTTCAGTTTTTTTTTTTTTTTTTTAGGTATTTTTATTTTTTTATTTTTTTATTTTTTTATTTTTTTTTTTTACAAATAGTTTATTGTCAAATTAGTTTCTACATAACACTCAGTGCTCATCCCCAAAGTGCCCTCCTCCATGCCCATCCCCCCCTCCCCCCCACATCCATCAGTCCTCAGTTTTTGTCAGCATTCAAGAGTCTCTCATGGTTTGCCTCTCTCCCTTTCCCCCACCATTTCCGCCCTTCTTCTCCCCCTTGTTCCTCCGTCAAGTTCCTCCTAATCCTCCTATACGTGCAAACATATGGTATTTGTCCTTCTCTGCCTGACTTATTTCGCTCAGCATAACACCCTCAAGGTCCATCCATGTTGCTACACATGGCCAGATTTCATTGTTTCTCATTGCCATGTAGTATTCCATGGTATAGATAATCTGGTTTTCAGTTTTAACTCTTCTTCCTCCACATGGTGGGTGAACTGGGTGACAAAAATGTAACTTTATAAAACTTCACCAAGATTCCCTGGACTAGACTACTGTGATTTAATGATAATGATAAAAATAACATCAGCAGAAGCATTTATTGAAAACTGTTGCCAGATACCGTGCTAAATATTTTACATAAATCCCCTCCTGAACCCTCTTCTCATAAGCCTATGAAGTAGGAACTATTATTATACCCATTTCACAATGGAGGAAATTGAGTTAAAGTGATGGTTAGTGGACCACAGCCAAGGCCTGACTTCTTCCAGAGCCCCAGCGTTAATCAACGCAATATACTGCCTCCTACTGTAGATTCAGTTTCTTAGATAAAGGTGGACCGTCTCCAACTTGATGAGACTTGGAATTGTAACAAAGAGGCTGGAACACTAGCCCTCATTGTGAATGTTCAGATCAAACTTCTACATCACCACTAACGTGAATCCATTGTCATAGCAACAGACACATCAAATATTCCAGCTCAAGTTCACAGAAGCTACATTCTCAAACCATCCACAAGGGCACTTGCCTATACTCAGTGTCATCATTCCAGATTTCGTGTAATTTTTTTTAAAAATTTCATTTGGCCCACCTTTTAATTTAAACAGAAAGCTCAAGAAGCAGAGAAGGCATTCATGAGAGAAATGAAGGCACAAAGCCACTCAGCATAAGAGATCCAAGGTAAAAGAAAGTTTCACAACATGTGGGGCCATTTTCCTGATATGGAAACCTTTCATTTTATATCTTTTACCACCTACTACTAAATTCTACCCTGATTTCCAGTCAGCCCTACAGTAGAGAATTCCAAGTTTCCTGTAAGAAATATGAGTTCTGTTTCAATTTAATTTTCTCCAGGTGAACTCATTTTACCTGCTGAATCTATAAGCTAATGGTAAAAAATATATTACCCAAGGGACATACTTACAGTAAAATAATTATTCATAGTTTATCTAAAATTCTAATCTAATTTGGCACCTAGTATTTTTATTTGCTGAGTGTGGCAACCCTGTTTGGAATCAGACTAAACAAATTGCAACTTTTAGGTTTACCATCTACCAGCTGTTTCCTCAGGTCAATTGTTATGAGCCTGTATATGAACATATCCAGTTATTTAAACATGTTCATCTTTTCACTTGTAAAATGGAGTTAATGTCTATATCTGTCTCATAAGTTCATGCCAAGAATTAAAAATTTTAATTCTCGAATGAATAACAAGCACTCAACTTATGTTTGTTACTGATTATTACTACTATTATTACCCATCATCTTTAGAACCACCACATTTCCCCTAAGAATGATAAAAAAGTACTAAACTTCTTTCCAGAAACTCAAATGACATGATGAGTCAATGACACTTGACTAATGATAAATAGCAATTAACTAAATTCAACTCAGTAAACACTGATTAATTTCCTAATATATGCAAGGCACAGAGCTAAGCGCCAGAAGTACAAAAATCATAAGCTGTCAAAGAGAAAAGGAAACTTAAAAGACGATCTCATTCAGTGCCCCTTACTTTACAGATAAGGAAACGGGTCCGCGTAGGTGGCGTGATCTGCCCAGCATCATGAGGCAAAATGGTAGCAAAGCAGGACCAAAGGCCATCTTCCTGACTCTGAATCCACAAGACTTTTTATTCACCTTCCTTGCCTTGTGCAGAAACAGCCCCTGTCCTCTGAAGCATATGCTCTGGTAGTGAAATACCAAAGAGATGCAATCACTATTTTTTGTTTGTTTGTTTTTGTTTTGTTGTGGGTCCACTAAAGTAGAGTCAATTTCACCTAATAATTGATCCTCACAAAAAACTATTGAGTTAACAAAAAAACGAGAAAGCAAGCAAGCAAGCAAGCAGGCATTATTCTTTTCCTTCATTATTCTTAAGAAAACAGAATCCCCTAGAAGTCAATTGATTGACATAAGATTTTAAGTCAAGTTCAAGTCAGAGTTTAAAGTAAATGCTATGGACACCTGATTGGCTCAGTCACTTAAGCGTCCAACTTCGGTTCAAGTCATGATCTCACGTTCATGGGTTCAAGCCACGCTTCAGGCTCTGTGCTGACAGCTAGCTCAGAGCCTGGAGCCTGTTTCAAATTCTGTGTCTCCCTCTCTCTCTGACCCTCCCATGCTCACACTGCCTCTCTCTCTTAGATATAAATAAAACATTAAAAAAATTAAAGTAGATGCTAGACCAAAGTGGCTTCTTCCACTGAAGCTGGCTGCCCCTACCCATGAAACAGAACTGAAACATTGTGTGAAACAAAGTGAGCCAAGCAGGTGTGTCTTAATGAAGACATCTTTACACAAAACTGCAAAGAAAATTAGAGTGAGTCTGGAGACAAAACAGAGGGAAATAACCAACAAGGTTAGCCAAAATTCAGAAAAGCCCTTTCACTAAAAGCAAGCAACCTGCTTGCCTAGATGACCCAAAAGAAAGTCCGTATCGAAACCTAAAACCAGGACAATGGAGCAACCAGAGTTCGTACTTAAAAATTTCAGAGATTTGGACAAAGGCTGTGCTTGAGAACACAGCAAATCAGTGTTCCAGATGGGCCTGAACCCAAGTCTTCTGAAATTCAGTTTGCTTTCCACAGAGCCACATTGTCCCTTTGTTTCACAACCGTGAGATCCTGACCTGAGCCAAAATCATAAGTCGGATATTTAACCAACTGAGCCACCCAAGTGCCCCATGATCCATTATCTTCCATTCTGTTTTATTCCATCCTGACCTTGTCTCTTCCCATTTCTCAACTGATTAAGTCCTCCTGCATATTTGTAAATCGTATCTGCCATTTTAGCCATTTTAGTTGTACCATTCAGTGGCACTGAGTACATTCACAGTGTTGTGGAAGTATCACCAATATCCATTTACAGAACTTTTCTGTCATCCCAAATAGAAACTAAACTCATTAAACAAGAACACCCTATTCTCCCTTCCTTCACCCCCCCACCCCCACCACCAGCCCCAACCATAATTCTACTTTCTATCTCTGTGAATTTGCCTTTTCTGGGTATCTGAAATAAGTGGTATTACATGATATTTGTCCTTTTGTGTCTGGCTAATTTCACTTAGCATAATGTTTTCAAGATTCATCTATGTTGCAGCATGTACCAGAACTTCACTCCCTTTTTTTTTCAAGTGTCAAAAATGTTCTACTGTATGTATGTACCACATTTTGGTTGTTCATTCCCTCACTGATGAACATTTAGGTTCCTTTCTGCCTTTTGTCTATTGTGAATAACATTAGTAATGAGTGCACAAATATCTCTAAGACCTTGCTTTCAATTCTTTGGTGTATATACCTAGAAGTGGAATTGCTGGATCGTATGGTAATTCTATGTTCAACTTTTTCAGAAACCACCTTCTGCTATTTTTAAAAGAGATTTAAGCAATGAGACTTGTGTAAGCTCAGTAACTATGCTTAATTATCCTTGGATTTTCAAAACTAATTAGTGACTGAGCAGTGCTACATGCCAGGATTGTAGGAGGTACTGGGAATCCAGCAAATACAGACATAGTTCCTAACCCCATGGAGTTTTCAGTTTGGTTGGGAGCCAGACATAAAACAAATACATACACAATGAGCTTATTCATAAGTGGGAATATAACTCAATTGCAAAAAACTGCAAACAATCTGATTTTTTAAATGTACAAAAGATCTAAATAGACATTTTCCCAAAGAAAATGCAAATGGCCAAGAGGTACATGGAAAGAGTTCAATATCACTAATCAAGAGAGAATTGCAATTCAGAAACATACCTCATACTTATTATAATGGCTATTATCAAAAAGACAAAAGATAATCTATGTGTTCATTGATGGATGAGTGCATAATTGTGTACATACACACATACGCACACACAATGGAATAGTAATCATTAAAAAATGAATTCTTGCCATTTGTGACAACAGGGATGGACCTTGAGGGAATTAAACTAAGTGAAATAAATCAGATAGAGAAATATAAATACCATATGATCTCTCTTCTATGTAAAAAAAAAAAAAAAAAAAAAAAAGATCATAGATCCATAGAACAGATTAGTAGTTACCAGAGGCGGGGGGTTAGGGGAAGAAATGGGTAAAGGGAATTGAAAGGTAAAAAAATAGTAATAATTAAAGTAAAATAAACTTAAAAAAAAAGACAAAGGATAACAAATATTGGTGATCATAGGAAAAAAGGGAACCCTGGTACATGGTTGGTAAAAATGTGAATTGGTAGAGCCACTATGGAAAACAGCATAAAGTTTCCTCAAAAATTAATAAGCAGAAATACCATAAAAGCCAACAATCTTACTTCTGGATACATAGCTGAAGGAAATGAAATCAGGATCTCATAGAGAGATCTGTACCATGTTCAATGCAGTATTATTCACAATAGCTAACATATAGAAACAACTTAAGCGTTCACCAACAGATGAAGGGATACAGAGGATGTGTTACACATGCACACACAGAGAGAGAAACAGAGAGGGAGAGAGAGAGAGAGAGACAGAGAGGAATATTATTAATCAGTCATAAAATAAGAAGAAATCCTGACATTTGCAACAACATGGATGCACTTAGAGGGCATTGTGCTAAGTGAAATAAGTCAGACAAAGGCAAAATGGGTGAAGGGAAGTAGAAGGTACAGGCTTATAATTATGAAATGAACATGGCATGGGGTTAAAAGGTACAGTATAGGGAATCTAACTAATGGTATTGTAACAGTATTGTGTGGTACACTTGTGGTGAGCATAGTATAATGTATAGAGTTGTTGAATAACTATGTTCTATACCTGAAACTAATAAAACATTGTCAACTATATTTCAATTTAAAAAATTAGGAAAAAAAGAAAGACAAATATTATGTGATCTCACTTATATGAGGAATCTTTAAAAAGAAAGATGAACCCATAGAAATAAAGAGTAGAATGGTGGTTTCCAGGGGCTAGTGGTTATAAGAAATGGGGAGACACTGGTAAAAGGGTGCAGACTTGAGTTATAAGATGAATAAGTTATGGAGACCTAATGTACAGCATGGCAATAATAGTTAACATAACTATTATATACTCAAAAGTTGGTAAGAGTAGATCTGAAATGTTCTCATTACAAAAGAAAATGGTAATTACATGAGGTAATGGAGGTATAACTAACTTTATTGTGGTAATCATTTCTCAGTATATACATGTATCAGATCATCACATTGTACATCTAAAACTTACACAATATATGTCAATTATATCTTAGTAAAGCTGGAAAAAATACTCATAAGTGGAATAAGTGATATAGAGACCTAAAAAGTTAAGGTGAAGTTTCTGAGGAAATGATGTTTAAGCTGAGATCTTAATAACCGAAAGCAGTGGTGAGCAAGCTATTTTGCAAATCCAACCAACCATCTACTTTGATAAGTAAAGTTTTACTGAAACACAGCCATGCCCATTTGTTTATGTGATACCTACAACTATTTTCATGATACAATGGCAGAAATGAGTAGTTGTGATAGACTATATGGCTCACAAAGCCTAAAATATTTGTAATCTGGTCTTTACAGAAAGTTTACTGAGAACTGACCAAAAGTCACTTAAGACAAGGGATTGAATGGGGGGAAGTTACCGCAGGAAGGAGACAGTACATGTACTGTCCCTGAGAAGTGAGAGCATGTAGCAAAAAAACTTTGAGTGGTTGCATTAGACACTAGGGAAGCTGTCACAAACTATCATATATTTGCTGGTTTAAAGCACCAGAAATTTACTCTCTAACATTTCTGGAAGTTCTAAGTCTACAATCCTTACGTCAATACACCTCTCAGCAGGATTGGTTCCTTCTGGAGGCTCTAAGGGAGAATCCATTTACTCCTCCTTCCTCGCTTTGAGAACTGTTGGCATTCTTTAGTGTGTAGATACATCATTCCATTTTTTGTCTCCATCTTTACATAGATTCTCCCTCTTGTATTTCTGAATCTTCTCCTCTTCTGTTTCTTATAAGGTTATCATCATTGAATTTAGGGTCCACCCTAATCCAGGATAATTTCATCTGAAGATCCTTGTTCTCACTAATTCTACAAAGTCCTTTAGTTCAATTAAGCCCACCTTCTAAAGTTCCACGTGAATGTATATCTTGTTGAGTCCCAATTCAAAACACTACAGTAGTCAAAGAACTCACGAAGGCCAGTGTGATGGAAGATAGGATGAGAAATGAAGAATGTCGGGAGATGAGCCTTGAGAGACCAAGAGGGATCAATGCTTAGGGCCCATTGAAGGACATACCAATGATAGAGGAAATTCCTCTAACCCTTTTGAGGGGGGTGGAGGTGGGGAAGTATATTGTCATGCAATCTGACACAAATTTTATGAAGATGTACATGTAAAATATTGTATTTTAAAAGATTGGATGAGCCCATAAAGCACTCCAGAAATACTTTTCATCATGCTTTCTTCCAAACGGAGTCCCCTCCGCCTTGTGTCAGATTAGTAAATACCAAAAATGCTTGACAGAAAAATTAATATTAATGATAAGATTCTTGGATTAAAAACTACAAGATTTTTCAAACACAATTTGAGTAGTGTGGGCAATTTTTATCTAGTAATTCACATTCTTTTTTTTTTTAAGATTCATTTATCATAGACTGAATCATTTTGACAAGGACTCTCAGGCTTTTTGTCCTTCTCTCTGGGACTGGGACCATGTGACTCTCCCTCTAAACTCTGCCCATCTCATTCATTATGGCCAAGGATGACTCTTGAAGG